CTTTAACCAGCATTTCATGTGCGATTTATACAGTTTATCCTACATTTAGACATTTATTATCAGCATGAACTGCATTTATATTTCGGTATATTTTGCCTTTTAAATACAGTAACTTCATTAAAATTCGCCTGAAAGCCATATAACTTTATTGCTGACAGTATTTCATGCTCTAAAGACATGTTAAGCATCATTTAACCCCAAAATATCCCTTTTATGCAACTTCAACAATTTGTCAAGCTGAAAATCGAGAATATAAAGAATATGCTCACAATTACATTTTTCAGATCAAGATCACAATAGTAAAATGTCAAAACACAATATTTCCTCATTTTACCACATTTTAATCATTTCAAACGAAACCTCAGCTTTTTTCTTTCCCCTTTATCTTTCCCTGAATGCTTATTCTCCATCCCTTTGCAATCGGTTGCATTTTACAGCAGTGACATCTCATTAAGTCACATTTCATGAATTTTGAGTTTAAATCAACTTTTAGAGAGGAAATCCAACTCCTACCGTCAGCGTCGAAATGTTTCCAAATGTCGAGGAACTGGGACGCGGTGACCTCGGCCAGGTGCAGGTGAGGAGGCTGCTGCGCTTTGTTTGCCATGATGCTCTCGACGGATGCTTTGCTGCAGGTCAGACGCCAGAAAAAATCCGCGACTAAACTTTTTTTTTTTTCTTCTCTCTGTGTCTCTTGTTCAAACACACCCCACACTGTGGCCCCTGCGCGCCGCCCGCCGCTTTTTAACCCCGGCGCAGGAGCGGCAGCACCGACGCACCGCCGCTGGGGGCGCAGCGCCACCGACAGCATCCATCTGAGTCAGCGTCCGTCTGTGTGCGTGCGTGTGCGTGTGCGTGTGCATGTGTGTGTGTGCGCGTCCAAGCTTGATGTAGTTGTGCGATAGGACGTCTTGGGCACTGCAGTGGACAGACTGATGAGTGTGCGTGCGTAAAAGGAGAGGGTTGCGCACAGAGAGCAGATCCACTGTTTTGCTGCTCATCATCGTTGCATCATCTTTTCTTTACAGTAGATCCCGTGTGTGTGTGTGTGTGTTTGATCTACTTACATGCATGTGAGTTCCCATACTAGCCTACATCTGTGTGTATCTAAGCGTGCAGCTCCCCGAGCCTGTGTGAGGCTTCACAGACTTAATTAGAACTCACACACTAATCACATTTCCCACATTGCCTCCAGCCAGCAGTGATTAGCCCACATAATAAATGTAAATTCAGAAAAAAGAGGGAGGTGGGGGTATTTTTCATTAATGGCCAGTCTACTGTGCAGAGGGGCAGGCGAAGCCACAGATCCTATTAGGAGAATGAGGATGGAAAAAAAGAAAAGTACTCATATATATTTCTTCAACTCATTTACAGCAAGAGGTGATAATATTCAAGATGAAGTAATAAGACTGTAATGAGCAGGAGGGCAAGTATCCCTGCAAGCATGTTCCTGCACAAATCTACAAGAGACAGCTTCTGTATGAAGAAAATTAGATTAAACTTTCTTTTTTTTTTAATCCTGGGTGTGCTCTACATGTCTACAGGTTGTTTTCAATGCATACGTTAGCACAAGTATGGGACTGGTGATCACAGGATGTAGGCTGTGGGTAGAAGCCTGCCATTGGCCGCTCATTTCAGGCGGCTTTGTCCAGCACTTACGCTATCTTTGTGTTACCGTTTTCGATATTACAACCTCCGAGCAGCAACCTACAATCACTGAAAGTTTTAGATTTTGTGCAGTCCGGCCGCCCTGCTAGCTCAGGGAATTTAATTAAATGAAATGTAATCACAGTGCACAATGCTCGTCTCCCATCGTGCAAATGTTTCACCAAAGCAATTCCATTATCACTATTTTGAGGGAACACTGAAGCTGCAGCCTTCGCGTAGCTCCACCCAGTTCACTTGTGGTTGGTTTAGAGAAATGCAATCAAGCTTATTTCCTCCTCAACAGCAGAATGATAGTGGGTTGCAGTCAGACTATTCTGTACTCCAGAATGTTAAGCAAGCACAAAACCAAACTCCTGGGCGAGGACTAATTAAATGGACTGCAGTTGCTATTAGTAATCAAATAATTAACTGCACTGAAGCTTTTTCTGATACATGTCAAAATTAAGTTCAACCTCCTGAGCTGAAAATGAAGCCAGCATTAAAAACTGCAGTTCCTCCAGTGGCCACTAATAGGATGCATATGCATTAAGAGGGCCTTCTGTCTTCTGTCTACCAGTCTGACTGGATCAGAACATTACAAGCTAAGACAAAAAAAAAAGTGCATTTGTAGATAAACACAGCTAATTTTGTCATTCTCAGCAAAAAATGAATAATTCAAGCCGTTTTCTTGTCTGTATGAGATGATGTGAACTAAAGACTTTACTCTGAAAGCCTTTGATTCAGTTCAATTCAATTCAATTCAATTTTATTTGTATAGCGCATATTTACAACAACAAGTCATCTCATAGCGCTTAACAAAGACAGAAACACCCAACAATCCAAAACATTTGGATTCCCTATAACGCTCAGCAGTCCACAAGCAGTCCGCAACAGTGGGAAGGAACTGAAAACCCCCACGGGGGAAAAAAACCTCCGACAGAACCAGGCTCAGGGAGGGACGGCCATCTGCCTCGAGCGGTTGGGTGGGTGTGGGATGAGTTATACATTTTAGTGTACAGTTAAACAAGTTAAACAAGTTCACCACTCTGAGATTCATTACTTGTGACAGTTATTCTCCTCATCGCTGCTTTTTGTATGAAAAAGTTAACGTACATCTCCATCGGTAAGACATGACAAACTGGTTTCCTTTTATATGGTTCATAAGGCAATGAACGACAAAATGCACATAGCCTCTCTCTCTCTTAACCTGGTCTCAGAGTCATTACTCAGCTTGTTCAAGCGTTTGGCTAATGCTTGAAGTTGTGCGATAAAGTGCTTTGGTTTTTGTGGTGCACACAGCTGCAACACCGTACTACTACTACTACTTCAAACGTAAACCTTAAAACAACTGTACCTGCAGGTCAATTTAAAAACATGATTGAATGATCTATTGAATGCATTTCTTTTTAACTGTGTTCTGCTGTTTGTTTATTTATTTTTTGTTAATTATTATCCGATTTATTCTTTTTATTTTACTCTCAGCACTGCTGCAAATGAGACATACAGCTGGAAAACACTGCGTCGTCATTACGTTGCACCTTAAGCTATATATATATTGCAGTTTGAAGCACAAAGTGTCTTCTCTCGATGGCTAATTTTTTTCATACTCGTTTTTATAACCATGGCGTATGTCATGCATCTTCTTCTGTGCAGTGGATTGTGAAATCCACGCTAGCTTGCATACTGCTGCAGATGTAGTTGGTATTTTTGGCATACTCCATTTGTCATACTATGCACTGGGACGGAGTGGCAACCTCTAGGGCTGAAAAATAAGTCAGTGATGCTTTTGAAGTGCCAAAAACTGACTACACAAAGCCAGGCTAGCTATTTCCCCTTCCAGCCTTTATGGTAAGCTAAACTAACCTAGATGGTGTTTTTCTTCATTAATTTTAAACAATGTCGAACTACACTTGTAGAAAGGTGTTTCACTGAGTTGAGCGTTTTTGAAACCAGACATTCTGCGTGTAACAATTGGGTCTGAGTGACAGTTTTAGCTGCTAGAGGATGGAGCTGTAATGTGTTGTCACTGTGCTACCAGTTAGATGTGACTGTGCAGTTTATGCTGGTTGTTAACATCTTGTTTGCTCGCTGCTATAAATCAAGATTGGTACTGCAGTCGAATCTGCAGGCAAATAATTAAGATGATCCAGATAAACCAAGCTGACACTGTCACACCAAAGAATGCTGTGCTGAACTTGACCTGTCACATCTCCACAGAGGTGGAGCAGTAATTTTCCAGATCCACTCTGCACAGTGCTGACACGCTGCTGGCAGCCGACTCATTTTGGATGCGGTGCGTGAAAGTCAGCAGAGATATTCCACCCACTAACGCTTGTTTCTTGTGCTTGTAAGAGTCACATTCACCAACAGGACAGGAGCACTGCCGTCTCACAGACAACACAGGTACATGGCAGCGCATGAGAGCAGCTCGAGAAGAAAAAGACCGAGTGTGTGACGGTGTGTGACAGTGTTTAAGAGTGTAAAGTCAGCAGAGCTGTCCCGCTCTATTTCCTCAGCTTCTCTTTTCACCCTATAATAATCAATAGTGGGCCCTAGGCTCAGTTGGCACGGCGACAATAGATAGATCAACATTACATTACAGATGAGGCCTGTCGCCAGCCTGTGGGGACTGCCGAGTCAAACACACTTCATTCTCCTCTTATTCTCTTTAGGCACTGCCTTCGTCTGTCTTCATCTGTGCGTCCTGTTTTCCACTTCCCTCCATCCAAAGCAGAGACTTTACTATTTGCATCCGACGTGCTTATCTTTGTAGACGTCTCACTTTTTTTTTGCTGTGAAGTTGTGAGGCATCTTTCCGAATGTGTGTAAATGCAATCGAGCCAAGTACAGGTGTTGTGTTTGTGTTGTCGGCCTGCCTGCTTCATTTGCATTAATATTTCAGCTCCACAGTGGGCTGCACCTCTACTTGCTGTATGTAGATGAATTATGTAAGAGAGCGGAGCGGCGCACGGAACAGCCATTTCCACTTCATCTCAATCTCACAGCGACTTCATCTGTTTGAGGTGTGTTTAAAGTGAAGGATTGAGAGGGCTGAAGACGGAGAGAGGGAGAGTGTGTAAGGACGTGTTGATGAAGTGTGTGTTTTGTTGGTTGGGTGTGCGCTCGCCTTCATCCCCCTGCTTTCCACAGATATCTCCCTGTTCACTGATCCTCATTATCGCTGAAAGTGGAGGAAACTCCTTTTCTCCTTGAAAACAACTTCCATATTGATTGATTTTGGGCTGTACACACACACACACACACACACACACACACACACACACACACACCTACACACACACAGAAACAAACACATGCAGTCATCCATGACAGAAAATACCAGCACCCAGATATCATCTGCAAGTTTTTATTTGACAACAGCAGCATTTGGCATGAAAATGAATTGCTTTATTTTATAAGTGAATTCGATTCTAACCTGAGACCTGGAAACAGTAACTATGATTAAACAGAGCGTACAATATATAGAGGTTAGTACACACAAGGAAGACTAAAATAAACAGAAGACTAAAACAAAAAGCCCAAAGCATGGTAGTAGCACATACATTCAGACTTTTTTTTTTGTTGAGATTTTATGACTCAGAAATGGACAAGCCATAGATTTTACATTTTGATGATGTCAGGCTTAATTTTGATTACAACTCCCCTTTAAGACTTTCATTCGCATCTTGATGTTCAGCCTGATACAAATGGTCTAAGAGGTGGACTGCTGATCTTGGCTATTCTCCGACCTTTTCCAGCTCTAATGAATGAGGCGGTCAAGGGAAGCTGGCAAACGGCTCCAGATCAGAGCAGTGAAGATTGAAAGCTGCAGGTCCAGGTATTATAGCCCTCCCTGATATTACAGTGTTGTGGTCTCTTCAGTGTGCAAATAAAACTGAACCAAATGCAGGTAAAAACGCATCATACATCACTGCCGCTCGACTAGATTAGCCTAGGCCTTCTGGCATTTCTTTCCGATTATATTGTGCTTTTGTTGTAATTCATTAGATTTCTATATATAAACCTGCTGATCTACAAGATCACTAAAACTAAGAGCTTTCCATGACTGGACCCACTTTAGAAACTGATTCAGCTCAATTTTTCTTTTTTAAACTAAAATCCAACAAGGATTGACAAGCCAGTTAAATTTTGCTACTTTTTCACAATAAATATATTCGATATTTATGCTAAATAATTTGTCTGTATAAATAAATGAGTGCAGTAAAATGCAAATATATTTTTTAGCTAAAATAAGTGTTTATTGTTCATTGCTAATAACAAGTGATCACAAAATAAGACAGTAGGAGCGAGTTGGTCCCCAAACTCACTCTATATTCTCTCTAAATAGCAGCTGTTACCACGTGGATGCGACTGTGGTGTTAATGGGCTGCACGAACATGTTAAGACGAGCCCATGAGCACACAGCATCACACTGATACATCTCAGACAGATGCAGTCATAGGTGGTGGTTGTATACAGTATATTGAACCTGCTAAAGGCAATTAATACATAGCATGTATGCATTTAACACATGAAAGTATGACAAATTATTCTGCAGGCTTAACTGACAGGCCACTAAGCAAACCTGAATGTTTAATCGAAACATGAGGTAATAAAACATTTGTGGAGCTTCATCAACAGGGACAGCATCTCAGTATACCTAGAGGTCATGCGTGTCCATCAGCATTCACAAAGTGGAATTTTCAAGTCTTGTTTTCATTATAGATGAAAAATGCAGGTTCAACCTTCAGGAAAGTCTCGGATTTTTTTCTGCCTCTCTGATTATAGCAGGCGACACAGGGAAAACCCCAACCACCCTGCAGCAATACTGGATAGAAGGATAGAAATACACACCAGCAGTTGTACAATACCCACCACTGTGTTCCTATTACAACTATTGATCTGTGATAAATGAGAATAAAAGCAATTTTAAATAACATAATGGTATAGTGGGATTATATGTCATGATCTTAGTGACCATAATTCTTGATTCAGATTTAAACAAACATTCAACAGAAGTCAACGCGTTAAACAACAGATTTTAGAAGTGCTCATTAACTTTAAGTGCGAGACAATTTCTGCTTTCTTTGTACCCTTATTCAAGGTGTCATTCATGTGCACCACTTGCTGTTGAATAAAACCATGTTTTCTCTGAGGTGAGTCAGTCACCATTGGACATAGTTGCAGTCAACAGTGAAACCTGGATGAAAATGTCCATAAAGCATGTTTTCTCAAGCTTGATTTATACTCCTGTGTTAAATCTACGCAGAGCTTACGCTGTAACCTAAGTGACCGATACTGTCGTGAGTATTTGTAAATGTGCGCTGGTGTGTCTGCGTTGCTACATCGGTTAGCCGTAGTATTTTGATTTCAGTGTGTTGTGCATTATGTGCTTCAGTTACTGAAACAGAGTGGATCATGTTGGCGTTGAAGTTAATAAATGGAGAACAAAAGCTACACTAAAAGAAAAGATGTTGGAACCAATATTTCAATCAAAACAGCACATAGCTACTTTGGCAAATTACAGCCTTTTCCATTTGGAAGGTGGATACAAGTACAGCCTGTTCCATACTACATTTTGTTTGACAGAAGCATTGTCTTTTCACAAATCAGTTGGCCCTGTAAACAATAGAGCCTGGCTGATACAGGATTTTTGAGGCCAATACCAAATTTAGGGAGTAAAAAATTGTGATATTGATATATAAACCGACATTGTGTATACTTATGCTGCTTACATTGAGATGGAAAATGATAGGATCACTGTTTATGACCTTTTGAATGTATTGTGCTACTTAGCAGCCTAATATGAAAAGTTTGACTCATCTGTTCAGCTGTGATATGCTACATGTGCTGCAGACAGTGCTGAGAGTTATAAACAGTGAAGTTGGAGCTGCTCTGCTGGACAAACTATTTTATGACACCGCTTCTAAATTACCCTGAGCATCTTCTTCTGTATTATGTCCTGTAAAAGAAAGTTTTCATATAGGCGTATACTGAACAATTACACTAATACGATTTATCTGTGACAGGTTAATATTGGCCGATAATGTTATTATATCAGTCGAACTCTAGTAAAAACACAGCATATCACTAGTGGACCAGTTACAGTTGTTGCAGTTTGTGCCGCTTCAGTGTGTAGTTTAGTTTTTGGGAGGTGCACATCAGACTACGGTGCAGGTTACGAAAAGGCATATGGCATAGATTCAATGCAGGAGTATAAATCAAGCTTTAGCCTGGTGTTAAGTATTTCTTTAGGTGCATTAAGGGTTTCTGGTAATCCCCTGATAATTAGCATTACAGAAATCAAGGGGCTGGACTATAAGTCAAAAACTGCCAACACCTAAACACATAAAAACATTCACTGTCTTCTCTTTAAAGGTATAGACCAGTTGCTTACTAGGTTGTTATGGGGCTTTTAATTCAACACAAATTCAGCTGGCTGTCCAGTCGGTTGGAGTCAGCCTACCATTTCCTGGTTTCCAAAGGTCTTCTTGTGGTAGGACTGATTGAAACCCAAACTAGCCACATAACTTTTCAATGTTCATCAAATACTGTGGACGTTTCCTGCTATTATGAGTGTCTCCACATTACCCCTTAATAAGTAAGAACCTATCCACCTAACCTGAACAACTCACCACATGCACATACTTTTTTACCTTTTATTCAAAGCTATAGTTATCCCATCACCAGTGATTTAACTGCAAAGCTGGAAGTCTTCTTTGTTTATGTGCAAACAGGTCTTAGATGGAGTTACTAGATCTTGGTGACGAGGTGGCTGACGAGCCGCTGAAGGTCCTGAGTACGCAGCTCGGTGGTCTTCAGCACCTCCTCATGGTTCGCTTTCTCATCGCTGTCGTAGTCCGTCACAACCTTGTTGGTGATGAGCGACAGACCCAAGACACGCAAGCCACAATGGCGAGCCACCACCACCTCCGGGACTGTGCTCATACCTGGACAGAGGGTGGAGGCTGATTAAACGACGTACAAAAACATACCTTTAAAACTAACGTGATTTAGTCTTATATTTGGACAAAGTGGGAAACCTTCAAAGACCTGCTAAAAAGCAGAGATAACCTGACTTTAGATCTATGATGCAATTACCACGTATATTTTGTAACGTATGTTGTCTGGTTTCCAAAGCACTGCCCATGAAAAATAGGCTTAACTTGATCTAACTTCTTAACCATTCAAACCTGATTTAAATCTTGTAATAAGTGTTTGCTTTGGTTACTTGATGACAAGAAAAACAAGCTGTGAACACAATATTAAGGTTAGTTTTTAAGCTTATAAAGACAAAGTGTTAGCAACATTAGCATGAGTCAAGTTTCTGGCCACATGACAAATGTAAGACCAACGTTCACTGTCTGATTAGCTTTGTTTTGGAGGAAACATGTGGCTCTTTAGCATATAAATAGTCATCAACTAGGTGCTAGCTTTGTGTTTCTGCCATTTGGGGTTAGACGGGTAAGGTACAGTGGATTTTTCAAGAGTGGCAAGACAAAAAACTAAGATGTAAGAAAGTGACAAAGCCTTGTAGAACTCATAGACACAGCAGAGGTGGGTGATAATTATCATCCTTCGTATTGCATACAGCAGCATAGATGTTTGTTTTCATTCTGCTGTAATGCAAGAATTATTCCTTCAAAAACTGCACATTTCTCTTCAATTTCCACAATTAAGCAGCCACGCTGGTTCTTGGTCGACCTACCGTATTTAAATATCAAGAGTCATATCCCTCGTTTATATTGTGATAAGAATAGTCCGGGTAAGATTATTTTTTTTTATATATGTGTGTTAAAAAAAAATGTAAATGTTATTTTAATAACAAGTTGCAGAGTTGTCTGTAGGGTTTTATGTCTTCTTTCAATTCAATCGACACCAAAGTCAAATATGGATAATCTGGTCTTTAGGTTTATTCAAAACTGCAATAAGAATAAGATTGTAGCGCATGCAAACATGTTCATTAAGCTACTCTGTGACTTTATTTCTTTATGTCACAAATCATAGTATTCAGATCAGTTTTGTCAGATGTTATTGTCGAAGTGAGCTGAACCTATACCCAAATTGTCTTCTATAGACGTTTAAACTCATACTTAGTCACTCTTGTAAACTGGCCACCTTTCCCACCACAACACAGGTCACAATTTTTGTTTATTATAACAGAAAAATTAAGTGATCCTCAAAGTGCAATGGGGAATGCAGTTCAGTTTTGAAGGAATGTAATTTTGTGGAGACCAGGTTGTGTTATTTGCAGTGTCCAGTGAATCAGTGAAAACTGATGCTGAGTTACTGAGGATGAATCTTGCTGAATGTCTCAGTATTTCTTTACATTTTGGCATATCTGCATCGTGGGAAGTGATGCTGGTTTGCCTGCTAGCAGTTCCTAAATTCCCGTTATCTCTCCTTGTCCAAATATTGTTTTCATATTTGTTTAAAAGTCTGTCCTAAGCTGTAGAGATGCTCTGTTGAGAGGTTTTCCCACTATAAAGGTAGTATCACTTTAAGTGAGCATGAGAGAGCAGAACTAACCAACAGCGTCAGCCCCGAGCTTCTGCAGCAAACTGCACTCTGCAATGGTCTCAAATGTCGGTCCAGCCAGCATGCAGTAAACTCCTTCCTGCAGGAAGCTGCCGCAGCCGTGCTCCTCTGCTGTCTGCTTGGCCAGGGCCCTCAGCTTGCGGTCATAAGCATCCGACATGCACGGGAATCGCACGCCAAACCTGCATCGACGTTCAGTGCAAGAGTGAGATGCAGCAATCATGTGTGAGATACAGATGCTGTCAGTCTAATAAATAGTCCTGATTTGTGCTGTACCTCTCATCGTTGTGCCCACACAGAGGGTTCTGCCCTGCAAAGCCCGGCATGTTGATGTGATCCTTAATGAGCATGATGTCTCCCACGTTGAAGGAACCGTTGAGGCCCCCCGCTGCGTTTGTCACAATCAGAGTTTCCACGCCCAGCAGGAAGAAGACCCGCATCGGGTATGTCACCTGTACACACAAAACACACGATGCTTCAGAGTCAGGAACCGCTGCTCAGTTGTTGTTTTCAGAATATTACAAATGGGAGTCACAAGATGGAGGCAACCTGGGAACAACAGTGAAGGGAAACAAATCACATGACAAGCCAGTAGTTTACAAGTGCCTGCTTCTTTATGCGCTGATGTCAATATAGCCTAGTATTGTTATGACTGTAGGTTCTCGTGTCTGTGCGGACCAGTTGTGGTTCTGTGCTAACCTTTATAGGGCAGCTGATGGCCCATAAATGACTGCTGCTACTTTTCACTGCAGTCACATTTAGAAATTGCTTTTTCTATTTCACATTTCTCTACAGATTGAATTGCCAGTGAAAGTGTTTTGCTAGTTAGTGCAGGAATGTTTTCAAGTACCCCGGTATCTTGATAAGGTCAGTGCTGTCACTGTGGAACATTGGTGTGTTTGATTAAAGTTTTGCAAAATATAACGGTGGACTGTGTTGTGAGGATGAAATGTAAGCAGAGAAAGCTGCATATGATACCAGGGCTGTAGTTTCAGTAGTTAGGTGGCAGGGGGCTGTTCATGGTGAGACGTCTCAATGAAATTACCAATCAGTATGTTTTCAGTCCTTACTAATTACAGTATGTGTGATTAAATTGCCCACTTGTCAGATGAAAAGAAGAAAAAAAAAATCACAGAAAAACAGAACTTGTAAATAAACTTGTAAAACACCATAGCAGGTCAGAAAGGTGCTGGTTGGGTGTTTTGAGCTAAACGCTAACACAAGCATACTTATATCCATCCATCAGCTATCTGGCCTACACAATATATTGCTTTAGCATCAACACTGTGATGTGCACAGAAGAGTTGTTGTTGTAATAGATATCACTGAGGCAAATTACCTCAAACACATTGTGCTAGAACTTTTTTTGTTGCTTGATACAAACAGAAAACTCTCACAGTTCTCCTTTTCCATGACTAATCTACAACACTGACAGAACATTGTGTAGTCCGATTTAAGGGTTGTTGGATACACTGAGTTTTTTTTTTAACTTTCAGAGTACAGAATTTGCTGTTTTCCAGCTGAGAAGCACCGGTTTCAGCTGCATTTTGCTGGAAGATGCCAGAAAAAACTGTTTGTACGTGGGTTAGTTGACACAGAGTTTGTTGACATGCAGGCTCCACATGTGCACAACAAAATGAACAAGGAACAGGAGAGAAACCCTGAAAAGGAAGACTTAGCTGCAAAAGAAACACAATGTGAGTTGTATGGTAATATTTTGACTACAGAAGGGATGATGCTGATCAAACACAGGTACTCTGTCTTACAAATGTTGCCACCGCACAAGGCAACCCGACTAATTAGTCTGACCATTTAAATGCCATGCAAAGCAAAAAATAAATAAAACAATTGGATTGACCGACCTCCCCGGTGTTTAGTGTTCTCTTGTCTGTTTTCTCTCTGCTATCCTGTCTCTCCTCTCTCACCCCAACCAGTCGAGGCAGACGGCTGCCCTCACTGAGCTTGGTTCTGCTTTTGGTTTGTTCTTGTTAAAGGGGAGTTTGTTTTTTTCTTCTTCTCACTGTTGTCAAGTGCTGCTCAAAGGGAATCTTTGGATTTATTGGGTTTTTCTCTCTCGAACTCTTACCTGACTGTGTGAAGTTCCTTGAGATGACATATGCTGTGAATTAGCACAATATGAAACTGAACTGATTTGACCTGAACTGAACTGAATGCCTTTGCTTGGGTTAAAATTAAAATTATTTTTTATTTTTGATGCAGATGCACCATACTGCAAAATCGCCCCATTTGTTGTATCACAATATACAAGAATACAAATTATTGCAATGTCAGTTTTTTTTTATTTTTTGATCTTGCATCTCTATTTCCTGCTTTATCCTGTAGAGGGTAACGGGGCTGTAGCCTATCCTAGCTGACCATGGGCAGATTGCAGGGCTAACACAAACAGACACACAACTGCTCACACTCACACCTACAGCCAGTTTATAATCACCAGCTAACCTACCATGCATGTCTCTGGAGTGTGAGCGTGCAAACTCCACACTGTGAGCCAACACTGCTAACCACTGCTCCACTGTGTCGCTCAAATGTGCTCTGAGATATTGTTTAGCGTTCGTGTTTATGTGTAATGTTTACCATGTCGACCATTTTAATTTGCTCATTGGTACTAACCACAAACAGTACACGGGTCTCATGAGCTTGCCAATAATTATGCAGGTATTTTGTCATAAAGCAAAGTATTGGATAAATTAGAAATGTTAGCTGAGGACAACCAGCAGACCGACAATCTTGCTGTTAGTCAGTACAGTTAATCGAAAATGATGTCCATCTCATCTGATCTTCTCAGTTTTGTTTTGTTCACTTTGCCAAGAAGGGCTTAAGGAAGATAACGCAGGACAAAGTCTTGCACAACTTCTTAGAAAAGCCTGTTTGTAATGCATATTGTCTGGAATAGATTTACCTCAGTTGGCTTGGGCAGAGTCAAAACTTTTAGAGTTTAGCTCATTTCACGTAGATGATTCAACTGGAGGCATTTAATATATGACTCGTCTATAGTCCTAACTGCATACAGGAGGGTTATAATGCATCTGCTTTTCTATTACTGTATGTATGAACCTGGGTTTTATGATTCAGCTGGGTTATCATTTCATGTGGAGAAGGCGCATCACAGCTGGCAATAAAATAAAACTAGGATTCATATTCTCCACGGGCCAAAGGCCGTCTCACACTGGGGCACAGTGGGTCATCGCAGCTCTGCAGCTGATCATTCAACACAAATAGTAAATTGTTAGCCAAAGCTGTGAGCTATGTAATGATCTGTCAAGCTCTGGTCAAAAGTCATTAAGATGCCAATTTACACATCTTTATATGACAAAATTACAACATAATGACTGAGGAAGTGATTGACAAGTGTCCCAGAGAGATGTTTTATCTGATAAGATAAAGTATATTCAGATATATGAAAGAAAGTCCAGGGTGAGTCCATAAGTTGTAAGAAAAATAACCCATTTTAAAAGCAGTTTCACATAAGCACTAGTTACAAATACTTTTTATTCAATTACCACAACAGCCGGTGCTTTTTTGGAACTTAAAATAAGGAGATTTGTCTCAAAATCAATCTCCTCCCTGCGGGACAAGAATAACTGAGTAAGCTCTAAGACACGTCCAGGGTTTAAAGATTAGTCCCACACCTACAGAAGCTGGAAATGTTTTTCTCAATGTGATGGACAAAGTCAAAGTTTAAAGTGCCAGCTTTAGTTCAGTCACCCTGTATAGTATATCATTGGCATCAGCAAGGTTTCAAAAGACAAAACTGAGTTGGCTTGTGATAGAAATTGCGACAGAAAGCTGCTCACGAGGCAAATTAGAGCAGAAACAGATGAATATTACTTCAGCTCTGCACCGTTCAGTGTTCACATGGGGATCACTCCAATTTAATTTAAAGTTATTCCCAGCATAACAAACGTAAAGTAGACAAGTTGAGTGTACAAACACTGTTATACTGAGCACAGAGCTATTAGCAGCATCGCAATGCGGATGACAATGTCAGTATTTGGTACAGATCGAAATATCTCAGCAACTATCGGAAAGACTGATATTAAATTAGGTACACATTCATGTTCTTAATCAGGATAACTGGGGCCATTAACCAATATTTTGTTTTATGAGCACCAACACTCCCATCAGCCCCAGTTGGACTTTATGTTTAGTGCTAATTAGCAAATACCAGCATGCTCAAACACCAAATTACTATCATGAACCTGAACCTGTCAGCTGTTGTAGAAACTTCACATTCGCACTAATGTTTCTCACATTTTACTTTCATGCAGCTTCTTAAAGTAATTGCATTTTGTGTACCTGACTGTGAGAAAGAACGACTTTCATTCAGTCAGCTTCAGACGAGGTCACAGAGGATGAGGTGTGTTTGTAGTGTTACTTTTTTTGGAAAAAGAGCAAATTCCTGTAATCCTTCACTGAAAGGAAGATGTATGCTCTCTTTGCTCAACTTTGTGTTTTGTTTTTTTGGTGTCGTCTTGTCTCTGGGAGGGAAGACCCATATGCATAAGTTGATATTGCAGTAAATACCCCAAAACACAGGTCACTTAGTTACAGATTTTTTACATTTCATTTAAAACACAGCTGCACATAAAAAGGGACGCCCACAGCCAAAAGCATGGTTGCAGTTTCTCAGTTTTGTTTTTCTTTTAGTTTAAAGAAAGTAAAAGAAGAATTTTGACGTCCCTTTTAGTCATTGAATGTACCCTTAAAAATCCAATTCTGGGTATCAAAGCTACATATTGAGAAGTTTCTTCCATTTAAATGGTTCCTTCCTCTTATTATTTGCAAACCCCCTGAAAACTAATCTCTGTGATTCAAAGTTGCATATTTAGATGTTTTTTCTGTGGAAATATTCCCTTCTGGCCTTAAAACTGGTTCAGCTGTAACTCAAAATTGCTGCTTTCTTTAGAATTTGTAGCTGTATGAAGCCCCTGCCTTTCGATCCATGCATTTCTCTCCTCTCACTGCAGCTTGAGCACACCAGCTCACCTACAACTCTGCTCAAACAATGTAAAACTACAGTAAGCTACACAATGTCAAGTTGTAACATTGCAGTCATACAGGCTAAAGCATCATCATTAGCGCACTGGTGTTTTACGGTGGAAGTGCTCACATGGTTGACTGCTCGTTTCACTCATGATGTGTCTTCCAGCATATAAAACACCATATGGGCTTGTTAACAAGGTAAAAAAAACAACAGATTTTTCACCTCACTTTTAGGAAGAACACGTATCTGGTTTACAAAAGCTACAACAAACCGTATTCTTACCGTGTGGATGTCATAGCCCTCGTAGAAGTGGAATCGCCCCTGCATGCAGACACACTCGCAGTCCTGCAGCTTTCCAAACACCAGCTGACCTGCATGGCCCTGCACTGCACAACACAAGTACAGTATGAGCAGCTGTTCGCCCACTGATGTACAGTGTCCAGACTATTACAATGAGTTTTTTATATACTGTGTATGTGTGTGTGTGTATACAGTTGAAACCAGAAGTTTACATCCACTGTATAAAAAGACACAACCTTTTTTTTTTTCTCACTGTCTGACATTAAATCAGACTAAACGTTTCCTGTTTTAGGTCAGTTAGGATTACCAACATTATTTCTATTTGCTAAATGCCAGAATAATGAGAGAGAGATTTTTGGTACAGAGATGTTTTTTTTTTTTTATTACTTTCAACAGACAACAGACAGAGAGAGGAGGCTGCATCACACCTGAAGTAGCACATTTATCAGTAATCGATCAACAGAAATACAGATACTGATAATCAATAAATAAATACACAAAATATCGACGACGATAATCAGCTGGGCTGATAATCGGTCTATCCCTACTCCAGTGGCCTCCACATTTATCAGATTTCAATGCAATAGAGCATCTTTGGAATGTGGTGGAACGGGAGAGTCACATCATGGAGATGCAGCCGACAATCTGTAGCAACTGTGTTATTATGTCAATATGAACCAAAGTCTTGGAGGATTTGTTTTTAGCGCTTAGTTGAATCTGTGCCATGAAGAACTAAGTCAGTTCTGAAGGCCAAAGGGTTCCAACCTGGTACTAGTGAGGTGTACCTAGTAAAGTGGCCAGAGAGTTTATATATGTATGTATGTATATATATATATATATAAGTAACAACAAACTTACCAGTGCTGGTGGGGAAACGAGGAATTTCCTTGTACGGGAACACAGTCTTGTCGTCCAGCAGATCAGCCAGTCCGCCCAGGCCTGAACCACAGATGATGGCCACTTTAGGACGCTTCTCTGTGTGGCTCAGCAGCCAGTCTGCTGTTTCCTTGTACTCCTCATACTTGTATCTGAGAACATTGGCATATTTACAAACCAAAGCCCTGGTATTGATAACTTAGTTACATAGCCACAATTTAAACAACATGTATGCTGATTAACATCACTGTCTGAGGAGAGCTGGCAGGACTAGCATCGCCGCTAATGTGAAGGTTTAAGGTGTGCAGGGAAAAGTAATGACTGCACCAGCTGCACTGAAATAAACAGGCAGTTTGCTGCATGAACAAACAATGTGACAAAAATGGTGCATACACGGTATACAACTATGGGAAGACTTCGCTGAGGGAAAAATATGCTAATAATTTTGCAGCAGAGCAGGTTCCGCTGGATGCTTTTTTAAACCTCCAGGCAAACCGTAAAACAAACAGTCATCAAATGAATCGAAAATCAGCGAGAAAAGTCAGTTGGTTCAGCTAAGTCTTGTGCATTGTTCAGATGAAAAGATAAGTGTACAAAGGGATTAACATAACCTGTCCAACTGGTAGATCCAGATCCATGGTGTCTTGTCTCATGCCTAAGTGTCTAAAACTCAAGCTCACTGTCATGGTAGTGATATCCAAAATTCATAAGAGCCTTGTTAAATACCAGTTCAGATCAGCTGGAGGGGAGAAAACTCTCTGAAATGCAGCACATGGAAAGGAACGCTGTATAAATAATACATTATGCAACTCACTTACTGGTTTTCACTTTGCCATTTGAAGTGTACCAGTCAAATTATTATTCAGGGTTGTTGATTTGACTGGGAATGCCTCAAGGTGCTACATTATACGCAGTCTGGACCAGTCTGTAATTCTGATTATAAATGTGGTTGTAAAGCTATAACCTTGTTAATGTTCCCTCTGTGCCTCAAGCTTTGTTATTAAAACACAATGACACTGGAGGCTGCAGCCTTTACCGGACCAGGAGGCAGCCTGATGACTCTGAACCCATTTCCAAGATAACTGCTGCATCTGACTAGCCTTGGGTGTTCAATCTTTCCACATTTTCCCCCTTGTTTCCTCATTTAAATGGAACTCAGAATGGATGTGAAAATATTTTATCAACAGGCACCTGAGCTGGACTGTCGGGTCAGAGTTATCATACATGTAAGAAAGTGAGAGCTCCAAGAAATGGATTCAGTTTATAGTATGGACACAACTGTCATGACTACCAGCCTGTCGGTCTCAGACGTTGGACCCTTAACGTGATTCTTCAGATGATAAGAGCAGAGTTGCTCAAACAGAAAGTGGAGAATGAATGACAGCAATTCACTTTCGTTTGACCTGAACATGTTTTTTTCTAAATCAGTGATTTATAAACCCAAGATTCTGAAACCTGTGCATCAGCAAAACGTGTAGCCAGGCCATAAAAGCTTCTTTTATTCAACATAATGACATCTCATCTGTCTGTAATTCGGCTGTAATGTTTTATATGAGGGCCAATTAACAGTTTCTATACCTAACTCTGCTGGATTTACTGTTTGACAGATGGACTGAACAAACTCACAGCTATAACTGGGAACACTGTTTGAACAGGGGACAGTCTGACACTTACACAGCCTCCAGTGTAACCTCAGCCACCTTGTATTCTGTCTTATGTTATTGTTTTGCTATTTCTAGCACGATGACATTTAATGGGACGTTTATTCTTTTAAAACTGACCAAGTGCATTTGCTAACTTCCTAGAGAGCTTCTTCTCACTGTGTTAGCATATTATGATGTGCAACACAACACTAGTTTGTCTTCTTGTACACTCACTGTACTGTAATTATGAAAATAATGATTTAATGAAGGATATAATTGGGGATTTCATGTAATTATTGTTATCAATGCACATTAACTGCACAATTACAGAGTACACTTTGAATCCAATGTGTTAATTGTTCAGCTGTAATCTGTCCCACCCTTAAAACTGTCTTCAAACCGTCCAGCAATACCAGGACAGTTTTGCAAATATATTAAGAATATAAACAGTAAAATTTACCTTTGTTAAAATGCAGTTGGATATTGCACTTGGCCACATTGTTATAAATATGGAATCTAAAATATCTGACGAATTGTACAGTGTCCCAATCCTAAAACTGTCATCTAACCTTTCATTCAGTCAGCATCAGGACAATTTTAGACATTTTTAAAACACATAAAACTGCTGTAAAGGAGGCAACTCTGCATTTAAAGTATCAGAAGAAATTTCAAATTTCTGCTTCTGCTGTCATCGACTGTTGTCTGTTTATTATAATTGTCAGGACAATTTTATAATTATTTTAAAAATATAAATAAATAGTAGAAGTGGCAACTCAAATTACCAAAGCTATTGAAAGGCTTTTTGAAATTTGTATATATGTTTTATACATTTTATTTTTAATCACAGGTTATTTTTTTCCTGCTATAGGTATTTATTTTCTGTTTCTTTTTTCAAATTTCTGTTTTCTACTGTCCTCAGATGTCGCCTAGTGTTTATTATAATTATTAGGACAATTTTATAATTATTTAAAATTACATATTTTAGAAATTAGTACAAGTACAGATTTTATTTGTTTTTTCATAGGTATTCATTTTCTGTTTCTTTTTTCTAATTTTTGCTTCTTCTGTCCTGAGATGCTGTTTAATGTTTATTATCATTATCAGGACGATTTGATAATTATTTAGATTTTTTTTTTTGGATAGTAGAAGAGGCATATCTGCCTTCTATATATTTTATACATTTTTTTTCTCCTTTATTTTCGCTATTTATTATTTTATTTCTGCTGTTACTAGCACCACATGCTGTCTAGTGTTTACTATGGGATGCACGTGTCCTTGACATCACGCTGTTATGTAAGGGTAAGCAGGAAGTGAGCTCTGCGGGGTCTCTGTGCTGCTCAGCCGGAGCTGTCCGTGGTGCTGCCGGGACTGCTTCAGTGTCCCGGCTCCGGTGCAGGGCGGCCTCCCCGCGGTGTGTAGCACAATAAAAGTCCCCTAAACATAATAGAGTTTGATCTGCCCTGTCTGTTGCTAAACTGCGAGGCTCTCAAGCAGATACAAGAGGAGACGCAGAAAGCCGAGTCTGTGTTCAGATATTGACTGTTTGGACACTACCTGCCACCTGTAACGGGCCTACGTCGGGCGGAGGGCAGCCCTCTGATTGGCTGCTTTAATCCTCACAATAATCATGTCAGCGTTGCTCCTCTAAATGCTCTTTAAACGGCAAACGGATGCAAACTGTACTACTCCCGCTGCGAGGCTTTTCTCCTAGCATCACTAATATGATAACGCCCCACGGTAGCCTTGACAACCGTGAGCAGTCGTGACAACCGTTCCGCCGACATCCAGACTTATCGGTCTTACCTGCACTCATTCCCGGGGCGGGCGGAGGAGGAGGACCGGGCCGACGCGTCCATATCTGATGGCTAAGCTGCCGATAACAGTGCTGTCTGACCAGGCGCTTTTCCGAGCGGACTTTCACGGTAGTTGAGTGGCTGATGGAGACTCTGCGGCGGCGGACGGAGCGGCGCAGGTCATGGTACGCGCTGACGTCACGGCCCACAGAGGCGGAGGGGGCGTGGCCTCCGCAGACACACCGGCTCCTCTTTGAAGAATACTAAATCCAATTTTCTAGCAGGCTGGGCAACTCACTGATCCGTTCACTGACTGGGCTGGGAACACAGGAGGAGGGGAGCTGACAGATGAGGAAAATATCCAAAAATACTTATTAGTTTTTAGAAAAAAGTTTAAAAGAGAAAAAAGTCAGTGAGTTTGCAACTGAAAATGCAGCAAACCCTGGCTGATGTGTCCCTGGGGCATGTTGTACAAATAGTTTCGCTCCCTCTCTGTCTCTGTCTCTCACACAGGCTGCAACAATTCAAAGTGCTGACTCATGGGTTGGAGGAAGAGAATGAAACTGCACATAAAAACCAATACAAAAAGCTGCAACTGGAGGCTATAAGCCCATAAGAAAACCAAACCAATGTGGTGCAACGACACAAGCATCAATAAACTCTTAAATATCTCCAGAGCTACAAGTGGATATTTGTACACTGTTTTTAAAAAAAACAATTTGTTTTACAGAACTTTTCTTTTACGTTTTATAGATTTCTTTCCTGGATTTTTAAAATACTCCAAAATATCAGAACATTGCAAGAAATATGTAGTCAGTCTATATGTTGAATATAACCTCTAACTTTGAAAAATCATAAAATCTTTTATACAAAATTGAGTTTTTTTTTTAAGAAAAAAAAAAATAAAAAAAATTGAGTTTTTTTTTTAAGACATAAAAAGACTTCCTAAAATACTTAGCAAAATTACACTAACATTTCCTATGTATTTAACAGTTGAACCAGTGAAATTCAAGTTTAATACCCTCCACTGTAGATGTACTGTGCGTTGCAGCTTTTTGCACATTTCAAGTTGTTTATACCACACTTTTTGAAAATTTGCACACATTCCTAATATTGTCAATATTTTCATTCTAACTTTTTTCCTTTAAAGTTCCCTCTGTCTGCTACACTTACACCTTATTTGTCTTGTATTTTACCTTACCAGTGATTTTAGACACATAAATACCATCTTTCAGCTTTAAAAACTCCAAATTACTCATGGCCTTATGCATAATAAAGGCAGAAGCACTGTTTGAACTATTTAAAGTTTGTAGTTATTTGTGATCATTACTTTTCTGTATTGTTCTTTTAGCACCCAAGCTGCCAAAATATTATCACCACTAGTAAAACAATATTCTAATTTTTATTAATTCTACGATGTAAATTTGTCTAACCAGGGTCATGTTGTCAATATTGTCCCTGAGGAAATTAGCAATGTTCACATTCAGCAATATAAAACTGACATAGTGGCTGTTTTATAGGCTGGTGCCATCATTATTGTAGTTGCCTTTTTTAATAATTATATGACTTCGAAGCAAACAAAGAATTAATTACAGAATAAAAAATGTGTTCCTGGCAACGTGAAGAAGGCTATGAAATCGGACTTTGGCCTTTAAAGTGAGCAGTAATACCCACATAATTTGGATTTAATTACTCTTTTATTCCCTCTCACTCTGAGCAAATTGGCTTCCATGAGAAAAACACTTATCGGTAGTGATCAGGGTCAAACTGTCTCAACTTGAGGGGAATGACAAAGATTAGGAACCCCTGTACCGTATCAGTTCAAATACGTCTGCCACGAATAGTCAGTCAAGAGGGATAAGTGGATTTGTAAACTTGTAGATTAAATTAGAAATTTCTGCCTTGTCATCATGCTCACTGGGGTTTAAAATCCCTTTTGTAGTCATGACTTGCCCTTATAGTGACCCTCTTAAACACACAGTGCTCAGTGGATGTTGCTTTTGTATACATGCCTGTGTGTCTGTGTGTAAAACTGCATGTCATGAAGTGGGATCTGCATTTCATACATACAAGAGACGACATATGATCCAATATAATAGTTTTTTGTTGTTGTTGATTCTTTCAGCTGTGGGCTTACAAAGAGACACTATTTTGTCCTCATTCCAACAATTTTCAGTCTGCAATGCACCATGTGGCACTTTCAGTCAAACAGACCAAGAAAAGAAGTTTTAATTAAACTGAAGACAAATTCAGTATTTGGAACCAGTAACATTTGTTAAGCCTTAAAATACTTCCAAAATAAGTAACTAACAACCACATGCAAAGTTTAAATCCAGAAAGTACATTTGCTCAAGTCAGACCTAGTATGTTATGCTGGATTTTTGAAATATTTTTTCTTTTTTGAAAGCAGTCCATGTGACTGGATTACATGAAATTAGTGGAATAAACATGAAAAAACCACACAGCAGTAGGCAGTGTATAAACAATTCTCTCAGTTATACAAAACGTTTGGCAATATCACTTGAATGCCAAAAGATTCAAAGCAGTATCACCTGACTAGTTGCATTACTTCTCATTTGAACAGTAGGATATTTGCCCATATGTAAACCTAACAGTTCAAGTTTATATAAAATACAGGCCCCAGTGTTCTGTTGTTGTGTGTCTGTGTTTTGTACAAGTATGCTGTCTGACTTGAAGGTCCGACTTTTCTTGTTTTGCTTCTTTAGAAGCACTTGTGTGATTTTGGCAGTGAGCTTTGAATAACTATCATACTGGAATGTTCCTCTTCCTCTGAACTTCTGCAGACTGGGGTCACTGGGGGTCATCCTATCAGCCAGTATTTTGGTATATTCGCAGACGTTCATGGTGGCATCTGTAAATGTCATTCCTCAACCACTTTTGTACTCATGCAGCCTCATATCCTCACACCTCTACATCTGTCAGGACTATACATTCACTGTGGTAGTCTTGCCCTGACATGCTGAACCTCATCTGAGCCAAATTATTTTGTCTGGATCTCATTTGACCAATGAATGAGTTCCCAGTATTCTCCAGGCTTCTATTCGTGTTCTTTAGCAAAGCTTCATCCTGCAGGTTTGTGCTGAAGCGCCCACAAGACTGTTTTTCATTGATATGATCTTCACATTGCCTGAGCCGCAACTGTGTTTTGATAGATTTCTAGTTGACTTCCTGTTTTGAACATTGTGAAGTCTCACAATCAGATTTGGGCTGCATGGTGGATCGGTGGTTAGCACCGTTGCCTCGCAGCAAGAAGGTTGCTGGTTTGTGTCCCGGTGAGGACACCCGGGATCTTTCTGTGTGGAGTTTGCATGTTCTCCCCGTGCAGCGTGGGTTCTCTCCGGGTTCTCTGGCTTCCTCCCACACAGTCCAAAAACATGTTGAGGTTAATTGGTGATTCTAAATTGTCTGTAGGTGTGAATGTGAGTGTGCTTGGTTGTCTGTCTCTAAGTGTAGCCCTGTGATAGACTGGTGACCTGTCCAGGGTGTCCCCTGCCTTCACCCTGAGTCAGCTGGGATAGACTCCAGTGAGGATTAAACGGAGTATAGATAATGGATGGATGGACAATCAGATTTTTTCAGTTCCTCTGGCAGTTCTCTTCCATGTGGAGCAGTGATGGAGACATGCAGATAGATGCAAATTGAGGAAGTTCTTGTGCTCATGTTATAGTAGCAAGCAGAAAGAGTAAAGTGACCACCACAAATACAAATAAATAAGCACAAGTATCCATTAAGTAAGGTAAAAAGACGAAATAAGAAATTATATAGAGACCAAAATGCAAACTTGATATACTTTTATTTTACCAGAGCAACTCTTTTAACAGTGTTTGGGCTGTTCGGTCAGTTAACAGATGAGAATTCAGTTGGTTATACTGCATTTGTACACAAAAGAAGCTGCATTATTGTTATTCTGTACGCTTATACGTTTTCACTTGAAAGATCTCACTTTCATTTTTTGCCTAAAAACTTTAAAAAAAAAAAAAAAAAGAAAGAAAAAAGAATAGACTTCTGCGTTTTCTTTGCAGACACATCTTCCTGACAGCGTTTGTGCGCTAACGGCGTTCAGCCAATCAGAAGACAGTTTATTGGGACCTCACTGAGTGCGTTGCCACGGCAACAAACCACAACTTGAGCGCTTGCGGCTAAATTTGGGAGCGCATCATGTTCAACAGAAGTTCATTTACAGGGTGGTAAGACTTCATTCAGCTATTCCTTTATCGGTATCGCAAGACAACAGGTTAAATCGTTATTTCTTTATTTTTAAGTGACACAAAAGAAGCGTTAAAGTCCGTAAACTCAATTTACATTCTTCGTAGGTACAGCGAGTCGACAGGATGGATGTAAACCTCTGCATTGCGAGCTTTTTAAAGTGTGAACTAATACCAATAACGTCTGTTTTATTCTAATTACAAGTAGTTTTAAACCCGTTTAACCAGTTCAAAGTAAGTAGTGCGGATGTAAAGAGAATTTAACGTTGATAACCGTTGGCTTAAACGTGACATCAAGTAAAACCAGCGTCTTCTTCGGTTTAACTTCGATTTATTTTGCCTTGAGCTTACAAATGCACATCATGTATGGACACCATCAACCAAAACAGACCAGTTCCTGCTTCCCATCAGATTTACTGTTCCGTTATTTTACAGACCATCCTGTGTTTTTCCAGGCGTTGCTAGCTTAATTTGCAGCAAAGTATTTCCAGATTTTCATATGTTTCACTTGATTAATCCCTGAAAACTCATCTATGTGCATCAAAATCGCATATTTAACAGTTTTTTTTTCCATGTAAGTAATCCCATCCTGCCTCAGAATGGTTTAGTTTTACCTCTACACTGTGTACAATGTGTATATCCATGCTAGTTTCAAGGTGGAACTGCTTATTTCAGTCATCATGTCTTCCAGCATAAAAAAACACCATATGGATAAGTTAACAAGGTAAAAATAAAAGTGGTTTCCAAGGTGTCTTTACTGGTGCAGCTCCTAAAACACCATAATAGGGACAGCACAGAAGAAAATGTGATTCGTTCTCAACTTCTTCTAATTAACACCCTGCACACAGCCGGTTTTCCTCCCAGATGTTTTTTTTATTTTTTTCTGCATTACAGCTTTTACCACCTGTTCTCAAATGGGCAACTAAAGATCTTTGGTTTCTTAGTAAGCGTGATTAATTGTAGTGTTCAGTGCAATAGGGGTGACTGATTTGAATATAAGTTTTTTTAATTTTAGTTTTAAAAGAATAATAAGTAGCTGTATCCTAATTGTGTTTGGATTATTAGTTGGAATGTATTGTAGCCCAGTTTCCTCTATGAGTGTGTCGAGTTCTGTGGTTCATGGAAAATTGTGCCACTTATTCCCAGGAAAAACTTTTTTAATTAAGCCGTCTTTGAACAGGTCAACAAAATCCCAGCAAGAAGATAACGTTCCCATAACATTGACCAAAGTTGTAATGACGTTTTAATGAAAACATTTTAATCTCATGTTCAAAGATTGTTTTAGGGATATTTATCATTTCAAATAATGTCTCTATAAGGTATAAGACAATACGTTTTAACATTCAGAGAACGTTTGGAGAATCTCGTCAGATTATATGATAACTAAAGAGTAACGTTCTCAAGCAAGCATGACAAAAAAACAAAGGATTAGGTAGAGCATTTTGCCTGTAGAAAATGGTTTTCTGAGTCACGTTCCCACATTGTTCCATGATAACAAAGGACGGACGTTCTCAATACAACATTTAGAAAATGGTTTTCCTCTAAAGAGAACATTCTGGGAGCTAAAAGAAAACTTCCTTCCGAAAACATTACTAGAACTTTGCAGAACTTTCTCAGAACATTTTTAGAGCAACATAATTCTAGCAGAGGCGGCTCTTCAGTGACGTCGGCTCACATTTGTCTCTTACTGATTCAGGTGTCCAACTCATATCCCATCCAGCAGCCAACAGAGGAGCAAACATGTGCATGCTGAGACAACATTGCATGGCTCTGGCCTTTATAAATCCCTGTTTCACTGTGCCATAATTCAGTAAAGGAGAAACACAATCCTCATACAGCTGAGTGTAGGTTAAGTTACCAAAGTCCTCACAGAGTTTAATGTGTTCACAACAGAACCTAATGCTCTCACAACTGAGCCAGGATCTTAAATGGATCTTAGTTCCTAGATGGGAAGTGTAGATTTACCATAAAATGGGTGCTTACTTCGCTTTTTTTATTATTATTACTTCATGGCTTCTCTTTCTTTTGTGATTCTTCTTTTTTGCAGGTGATTTTGCTGGAGAACACATCCAAAATGAATGGCGTTCAGATTCCTAACAAGGCTGCTCTGCTCTGCAATGCTAAGCTTGTTGTGAAGGAAGACAAGCCAAGACGGGTGAGGAGACCATGTTGTTTTTTTCTTTGCTTTATGAACTAACTTTTACCACCGTTTGTCGATTTTAAAACATTATGGAAACATGTCACCTTGTAAAGTCACAAAGATTTAAAAGTATACAGTCGGTGTTGGAAGCAGGGTTTTCTCGTGAATTAACAGGGGCCCAATTTCCTGTGACCTACGTTTTTTGACATTGTCCCATTTTTTTTTTAAAGATCTTGCTTCGAATGACAGATTGTCCTAATAATTACCTTGGCTTCTTATAGGGAACAAAATCAATATGTGACTGCAGTGTTTTGTTGCAGTGATCTCAGCTCAGCAATTTCAGGCTTTTGCTCTCTTCTTTTTTCACTTACACTTCTCTCAGGCCAGAATAAGGTCCACATAAAACTGATTATCTGTCTGTACGGTTGATTATATAGATTCCTACCTTTGTTTGCTGATATCTCATTTTTAATCACACAACAAACCTCGTTGTTTTGCTTGTTTACAAGAACTTAAGTGCAACACATACTCAGCTAACATCTAAAATAATTCTCAGTATATCTTGTAGTTTATATTGTTTTCCATCTATTGCTAAGTTAAATAACTGTAGAAGTATATACTATAATATGTATACTACAACACAATGTTCAGAGTTTTGTGGTCTATTTACAAATGTTCTCTCTGTTTAACACCACATTTTGGGAAAAAAAAATATTTTAGCAATCACCATCTGAAGACAAGCCATGTCATTGCACAGCTTGCCTTCTTGAAGAATGGTATTTTCTCAGGCAACTTTGTTGTCTCTGAATAATAGATTGAAGTGTATTATGAATACACACCTAACCGGCAGCTATTAAATATTGCATATTCAATAACCCCGTCTGCTACATTATTCATTCAGATATTAAGCTAAAATCTTTTCCTGACCTAACCTTGAAATAGGCTAAGTGCAGTTAGATGTTTCTGTGCTCCTGCTGCACTGATAAAGAGGTGCCAGAGGATTGTGTGGAGAGGATAATGATCACAAAATACTGCTGATGGTCGTCACTGAAACAGGAGAGCATTTGTTGAGTACATGGCACATGAAATCAGCTCATGTTGCTAATAATGGTGTCTTTGCATATGCATCATAGCTGTAAGCGGTCAAGCTTTAAGTTGACAGCCTACAGTTCTTCAGCTTATTATCTATTTCCCATTTTTCTCTTGCAGTTCTAACAGGCAGGGCTTACTCACTGCTGCTTTAAAAGGCAGTACATTATCAATAGAGTTAGTGTAACAGCCTGTGCTGCTGTGTGTTTGCAGATGACTCCGTCGGTTTTCACCCAGGAGATGTTGCAGTCCACAGAGGAGCGCCTGGCTAACACCACTGAGGTGCACCAACCTCGTATCCTGGAGTTTCTTGGCACGGGCATGACTCCGCATGGAAATGTAAATGCCGGCTAATGTTGTGATTCCTCAGTAGCTCCATAAACGACTTCTAATGAGAGAGCAACCAGCAACAATGGCTGCCAATGGCACAGTGATAGTTAAAGTCGATAGCCGGCACTGACGACTACATTTATAAGATGTAAAACACCAACAGTGACAGTGACAGTAAAAGATAAAAGGGTGTCATGCGTTTGCTGTTCAGCTGTTGTCTTCAGACCAGCTTCAACTGCCGACTTTCATCTTTGTGAGAATTACACCCAGGGGAGCTCATTGTACAATTTGCATAGAAAACAATACATCGAAATCAGCATTTGCTTTTGACAGGCTGTCGAAGCACTTCCAGTAGGAGCATTTGTGTACTTACACTGTAGCCCCCAGTAACCACGCTTAATTTATCAGTTGGCCAAGATGTGAGCTGCTATAGGACGGGCTGACATATATGAATAAATATTGATAAATAAAAAGGGACAGAATGCAGTAGGCCTGTTAGAAGGGGAGCTAATTGAGACTAGAAAAAAAATAAAAGCAGCATTCAAGTTTCTCATTATTTCATCATTAATCCCCTGAATACAGAGCATGTGCTGTCTGCTAAGGGCATTTACATTGTACCTAAGCTGCTTCCTCTTAGTCAGCAGGCACTAATTGATGGGCAGAGGGCAACCAATGTGACTTAATGCTCTGTACTTTTAGAGGCAGAGTTTAACAGGGGGGCTTGGAGCAGAAATGCCATCAAAAGTTCATGAGATGCCTTTGAAATTAATAAATGTCCCCTCATCACATTCAGTTGGATTTTTGCATCTCACCTTGTGCACATTTTTTTTTTTTTGTTGACTTGTCAAATATGCAAATGGGAATGCGACTAACCTCCAGCATGGGCCACTGCAGATGATGAGTGGGAGCAATGACCAGCAGGATCTCTGCAGGTCATCCTGAGTGCTGCAGAGTTTAATATCCAGTATTAGTTTCACTCTGGCAACAATGCAATGATGGAGGATAAATAAAAAGAATTCAGATTAACTTTAGGGGGCTATAGTTTCTCATATGTATATTGTAAAGTATGAAGAATCACAAATACGTATAATTATCGGGTGAGAAGCTGATGCTAGTAGCCCTTTAGCTTAGCATAATGTGAAATAGTGATCCACTTTCTATCCTAACATAGCAAAATTCACCTTCCAGCAACTCTAAAACTTACCCATTATCACTTACATTGTTTTTCTGTTTAATCGGAGCAACAATTTGCATTTTTTTCCCATTTCACATGTGCCAGATTGTTATTTTGACAGGCCAAAAAAAGCCGTCCTCGCTATGTTCATTTCTTTTCTCAGCTGCTGGTGGTACTGTAGCTTCATACATCATGGGTACAGATAAGACAGTGCTATCGATCTTCTCATTTGTAATGTCAGACCTTCTTAAAGAAAATCTTTTTCACTTGTGAAAGTGATTAAAAACTTAAAGTAGCCAGAATATAATGCATGTTGTAGCTCTGTATTGTGCTGGGCTTTCCTTTGAGAAAGCAGCATCCTGTCCCTCATTATGCATTTGTTCAGTACAAGTTTAAAGACAGTATACCTTGTGCATAAAGCGAATTAAGTAAGAAATCCTGTGTGTGTGTGTTGTCAGTTTTCCTTGGTGGATATACAGCAGCCACTTTTCCAGCCGTACCCGTCTGAGCTGGTCTTCCAGAACTTCACTCCTGCACAGACCTACAAGTTACCGCTGCTCCTCCTCAACAGTGACAAGGTGTGTAAACGAATTAAAGTCAAATTTATTCATAAAGCTCATTAAAAAACAGTAAGAGTTGAATGAAAGTGCAGTAAACACAGCAGGCCCCAATAAAATACAGCGAATAAAAGAAGACAATGAAATATTAAGACTGAAAAGTTAGCACACAATAAAAGATAAAGCAATGAATTGAAGCTCTACTTGAATCAAATGCTAACGAGAAGTGGTGGGTTTTCACCAGCGACAAAAAACCTTCCAAAGTCTAAAGCCGACTTTAGATGAAAAGGAAAACTATTCCAGAGATTAATTGAGGTCACCACAAATGCTCAATCGCCTTGAGTTCTATGCCTGAATCTCTAACATCCAGGAGTGTTTGGGAGTATTCCAACTGGAGTACGATGATGCAGGAGTTCTGCTAAGTAAAGCGGCGCCAACCCACTTAGAACCTTAAGAACTATCCTAAAAATGGACAGGAAGCCAGTGGAGGAAGGCCAATGTTGCTGTGCGATCTCTCTTTCTTTTTCCTGTTGAAAGACGAGCATTTTCAACCAGCTGCAGATGCTGAAGAGACGCAGAGCGATAAGAGTGATGAATAAGAAAATTGTTTTTCAAAGCGACATGGCTGCATGGATAGTTTAATCAAAGATATCTGTGAGACATAACGACCAAAACGCTCCATCTCTGACACCTTTGCAGCGGAAAAAAAGGAAAGCTTAAAGGATGTGTGTGTGTGTGTGGGCAGTGTGGGTTGTGTGTAAGAGAATGATTGGAAAAGGTCACGGGAGATTGGAGGATATCTGTACAAGACACCATCAAGTAATACTGAATAAATCATCACTTGTGAGCTTACCTGGCTTTGTGTTTGTTGCTGTGCTGTGTGTGTACAATTTTACAAAGTTTATGTGATTATTATTTTTTTTGGGGGTGTCCAGGTTTCCCGGCAAGTGATGCTGCAGCAGCAGGACTCTGAGTATTTCTGTGTGATCGGTCCAGATGATGCAGGTAGAAAGGTTGCCCCGGGATTACCTGCCACTTACACCGTCTGCTTCACTCCACAAGAGAACAAGGTACGTCGTAAAAAATAACAAACTGTTTAACTGATTTTACTTGAATCATTTACTGTTATTCCACAGTAGGACACATATTAGACAGTAACATAACAGAAAAATGGCTGTGGAGATTCTCAGTCATCCTGGTCATGGTTATTCTCGTAGTTTAATCATAGCAACTGGACTTGCTTGAGTTTCTTGAAGTCGTTTCACCTCTCATCCAAGAGGCTTCATCAGTTTTGACTGACTAGTTGGGAGTTCCAGATACTTATATCCTTAAGGATTCATTATCCTCCTGAATACTGTGTAGTATTTTAAGGGATGAAAAACCGTAAAACTGGAATTGAACAGAGTTTGTCTGTTTTGCTAAATTACAAAAAAATATGTAGTAAAAATCACAGAATATGTTTGAATTTAAATGTTGACAGTAAAAACATCAGGCCAAAACTCTAAATAATATCCACATCAAAAATCAGTATTTTTCCAAATAGTATCTTTTACATTGTGTGATTGCAAAATTAAACTGTTATACTGTATTTAAATAAACTTGAATTATCATCATTTTACAGAAAGCTGCCATTATTCTCACAGTTTTTGAACAATACAGTATGCCACCATTTTATTGTATGTTAAGGTATTTTTTCTGGCATCGTAGATAATCACAATTTTTTTTTTCTTTTCACATTTTCTTTTCACATTGAAGTGGATACGTCCCGTACACTAGGGTTTGACTACTCCGTTTAATAATCACACACAGAAAGCCAGAACTAGAGAACACGATGAAGAATCATGATAACGTATGCTTAGGAGGCTGATAGAGAATTTAGATGATGCGATTAGTTGAAGCTGAACTTTGAAGGCCTGTAGGAAATCAGGATGTCAGTAAGAATTAGAAACTAGAAAGATAACACAACACGTACTGTATCTAAGTCCTTAATGCATCCTGTAATCAGTAACATTCTACAAGTCATGATGGATGGGCATATTCTTCAACCATATTTGCTGCATAAATGCTTAGTAACAGCTCATTTGAAGTCAGGAGATCAAAGGTCAAGTACGCCACTTTTGCTGATACTTTGGGTCTAAGAGAAAACTGAGACATGGAATATAATATATGTTAAAACTCAATTTTCTACTAAATTCTCTTGTTTCTTTAGAGAATAGCTAAGTAGCTAATTAACCAAAGGTGTTTGTGTCTCTTTGAACTTTCTCTCTCCAGGACTATGACCACACACTCATTTGTGTGACAGAGCGGGAGCGCTTTGAGATCCCAGTCCGTGCCATCGGGCCTCGCGCCATTCTAGACTTTCGTGATGAGATTCATTTACCCGTTTGTCCTGTGAAAAGTTACGCAGAGAAAACTCACCTTGTCCGCAACATGGGAAACAGGGAGGCCAAATTCAGCTTACACACACAGAGGTGAGAGTCAGTAAAGGTGGACTTACGTATGCTGTGTTTGAGTGGTTTTTATGTTTTATATTTACTAAACCGCAGAATTCTCCTTCTTGGACTCCATAAATAAGCTCATATATAGGAACAGTTGATTTATGCATTTTTGCTCAACAACTGGTCCAGAACTACATTAAGTATAGTTGGGTAAACATTTAATTTAAGTTTGTAATTGTTACTGTTGATTACAATTAAAAGTTTTCCAGAACATTTCCTCTGCCAGTTTCTGAAACACTAACCTATAATTCCAGGCCTTTCTCAGTGACACCCTCCTCTGGGACTCTGGATGTAGGCGAGAGCATGCAGGTGACTGTGGGTTTCCACCCCATGACCACAGGAGACCAGAGGCAGGACCTGCTTCTGCACTACCACACTGGTGAGATTCAGGCCTCTAAAGGACATATATGTCTAGATTTCTTCAGATACGACATTCTTCTTCTCTCTAAGTACCTCCATGGAAGAGTGGTGGGGAGTTTTCAGATGTTCTCCCTCAGTGCTTCTCAGTTTGTCGTACAAAAACAATGAGGCACACAAAAAAATGTAGTTTCGCCAAATCAAAATATTCTGTCACGAAACTGAGCCATAAATGTCATGTGATGATAAGTGTCAACTCACAAAGTGCTTGGTTTGATTATGTCACACACACATGAATGGTGGTAGAGATGTTATGAACTACAACAAGAGTTTACATAATCAGAGTCGAATGGAGTGGAACTAAAAGGATGAATGTGTTTACTGTAATCACAGAGGCAAACACAATAATAAGATTCTCTATCTACAGCAGTGGTGACCCTGAAGCAGAACAGGACTGCTAAACAGGTCCACACACACAGAACAATCTCTTTGGTCCATCTCAGGATCTGCTGCTAATGGTCGATAATCAGGCATTCACTCTAGTTCGTTTCATTCTGTTCTTTCGATATTGTTGCATGTGTGTGTGTGTGTTGCAGTCTTATCGGTGTTCTCCATCCACAGAGCGATCTGTAGCAGCGCCGCACAAATAGATTCCCCAAGCCGATCCAATTACCTGCTCATTGTCTTTGTTCTAATTGTCTTCCTTTACGGGCTCCATGTGAGCATAACATGCTGTGTGCAACTGCAGTATGACTTCATGTGTGAATATGTGGCTGGGTTTTGGATTCCGAGTGATAGCAGATGTCGCAGACGAGTAGACACTAACAAGGTGCTTTGGAGAGGTGTTTGTTTGTGCGTTTGTGTCCGCTTGAGGCCATGAAGTCAAAGGTAAAGTAATTAATGGTCATGAGAGGAGAATCTATAGCATCCTCAGGGAGCTGGGCTGGGAGCACGGTGAGGATTTAGCTCATGATGGCTGTGGTTGTATTGTATTTACTGCTCAGTGCAGCTTTCTCCCAGGGCTTGTTATCCTCTCCTCTCCTCTCCTCTCCTCTGCAGCTCTGATTTCTTCTTACATTACATCTTAATGGGTTTAGTTATTAAGGTCATTTAGAATCAGCTGGTATTTGCATAGTACAAAGTTTGGGGAATAATGAACTACATGGATCGGTGTTGTGTAATAAGGATACAAAAAAGACTTGACTGAAACCAACTGGCGGAAGTCAGATGTTTTAAATAACATGGTGGATTTTTTTAAAGATTTTCCCATGTTGCCACACAAGGAAGCAGTGTGTTTGAGGTGTCTCTTAAAGTACATCCACAGGTGTGCCTCCAATCAACCGATCAAAGGATTCCAAAGCCACAACATCCTCGTCTGGGCTTTCCAAATAGTTTGAAGGCATAGTAATCTTAGGGTATGTAAACTTCTGACTTTGAATAAAGTAAAACAAGTTTCTCTCTCAATTTTCTGGCATTTAGCAAATAGAAATCATTTGTGTAATCCTAACTGACCTAAAACAGAAAAGTTTAGTCTGATTTAATGTTAGGCAGTGAGAAAATAAAGGTCACACAGGTGAAACCAGAAGTTCACATACACTGTATAAAAAGACACATAACCTTTTTTTCTCACTGTCAAATATTTTCTTACTTCCTTCAAAGTCAGAAGTTTCCATCCATTTCCTTAGTGTTTGTTAGCATTGCCATTAAACTGAATGACTTGGGTCAAACATTTTGGGTTTCCTTCCATAAGTTTCTCACAATAGTTTGATGAATTAACTGAGTCAGGTTTGTTGGTCTCCTTGATCCTCACGCCTTTTCAGCTCTACCCACAAATGTTCTACAGGACTGAGATCAGGGCTTTGTGATGGCCACTCCACAACACTGACTTTGAAGCCTCTTTGTAACTAATCTGGCAGTATGTTTAGGGTCATTGTCCATTTGAGAGACCATTAGTGTCCAAGCTTTAACTTCCTGGCTTATGTCTTGAGATGTTGCTTCAATATTTCCACATGATGTTCTTTCCTCATGATGCCATCTATTGTGTGAAGTGCACCAGTCTCTCCACAGCATGATGCTGCCATCCCCGTATTTCACAGCTGGGATGGTGTTCTCAGGCTCACAAGCGTCCCCCTTTTTCCTCCAAATGTAACGATGGTCACTAAGGCCAAACAGTTCAGTTTTAGTTTCATCAGACCATAGGACATATCTTCAGAAATTAAGCTCTTTGTCCCTGTTTGCATTTACAAACTGTTATCTGCTTTTTCTTATGTTTCTTTTGGAGTAATGTCTTCTTCCTCTCAAAGTAGCCTTTCAGTCCATGTCGGTACAGGACTGGTTTCACTGTGGATAATGACTCAGCTTCAGCAGCATCTTCACAAGGTCTTTTGCTTTTGCTCTGGGGTCGATAAGCACATTTTGCACCAAAACACTTCATCTCTGGGACACAGAACCGTCTCCTTCCTGAGCGGTATGATGGCTGAACATTCCCATCATGGTGTTTTTACTTGTGTGTAATTGTTTGAAACAGATTAACATGGAACCATCAGGCATCTGGAAATTGTACCCAAGGATGAACCAGACTTGTGGAGGTCCACGGTTCTCTTCTTGATATCTTAGCTGATGTCTTTAGATTTTCCCATGTTGTCACACAAGGAAGCAGTGTGTTTGAGGTGTGCCTCCAATTAGCTCAAGTGTTGACAGTTAACCTATAAAAACATTCCAAAGCCATGACATCATCATCTTTCCCAAATAGTTTGAAGGCATGAAAATTTTAGTGTATGTAAACTTCTGACTTTGAGGAAAGTAATAAAAATGCTCTAAAAAAAATTCTCTCTCTCATCATTCTGGCATTTAGCAAATAGAAATAATGTTGATAATCCTAACTGACCTAAAACAGGAAAAGTTTAGTCTGATTTAATTTTAAACAGTGAGGGGGAAAAAAAGTTGTGTCTTTTTATACAGTGTAAGTAAACTTCTGGTTTCAACTGTATATCAGTTCCCTACATCGGTTACTTGTCTTTAGCAGATTGTAAAAGTCTGATCGATTTACTGAAGACAAACTTCTGTCATGTCAAGTGTTTCATTCCCGGGATTTCTCTGTTCCACAGTCGGCCAGCAGGATGTTTGCAGTCTCCATATTACTGTACATATGGATGGTCCCCATAGGTACATATACAACATGAGCAACTAAAATAATACTGGTAACAGTAGTCATTTAAACTGAAACTTCTGCATTTGTAGAGTTAACTTTCAAATTGTAGTCAATTAATTAAATTGGCTTTAACTTACTTTGTCAACACCTTGAGTTCAGGATTTCAAGCCTTTAAAATGTCAAGGACTTTCTTAAGTAATTGGTCTGATTGCAGTTATATGTAGTACATTCGGAAGTTGTCATTAATCAAAAAATCTGATGCCAACTTGTCTTTGTTGAGCCTAAACCTCTGTTTTTAGAGTGTTTGATACTAAAAGAGTCCAGTCCTGGACTGAAAAACTGGGCCAAGTGGCTCCACCTTTTTGCAAATGACTCCTCAAAGTCGGACTGTTTGCATACTGAAGCAAAGAGAAAAGAATTCTGCTTTTAGTTTAGGTCTCTCTTGTGATCATAGAGATTTTGCAGAAAATAAAACAAACAAGTTAAATGATGTTCGTTTTAAAAGATAAATACTTTTAAAAAAACTAATCTGTTGTTGCTGTTTGAGGAATGTTTCCAACCTCAGCTCAGCTCAGTGCAGTACAGTAATGAATCATTCATCCTCTCTTTGTTTATTCATTAAGTGGCAGCATTACTTGATGAATGTTGGTTTTGAAACAGACTGATTATATTGTCTCTGCTTTTTACAATTATGTTTTTATGACAAATCTGCTGTTTTGGGATAATCTTGTTAAAATACTTCTGATTGATTTATCCACACTTGTACCATGCTGTAGTTTGGTACACGGGGGTCACACGTTCTGTAGCAGCCTCAGCTACCCTCACAATTAGCTAATGTCCTCAACATCAAAGGCCAAAAGACGAAGCTTTTGACTTTTCTGGTACACACACGGGGGGATCAATTAGAGGTGAAAGTTGCTCGGAAACATCAGCTCATGGCTTTTATCCTGTTCAGCAAAAAAAAATACAAGAGTTTATCTAACTGGGGCTTAGTTGGTTTAAATATTTTATTTTTTTGCTTGAGCTCATCCCATTTTAAACACCTTACATGAATAATGTTGTAAAATTGTGTGTTTTTCCTTTTTTCAAAATCACTTTGATGGGCCGTAAGGATTTAATGTCGACTTAAAAAGACAAGGTTTCACCGCAGTTTCATCAGAAGTTCAGCTTACAGTAACTTGGCAAACCAGACACAGTTTTACGCTGTGTTATGATCAGAAAAAAAAGAGCAATTTGTCTGCCAGCTAGACGTCCGGGGATAAAAATAGCAAACACGACTAGCTGGGTTGATTAATCACAAGGATGCTTCAATCAGAAACAAATCAGCTTCACTCCTGACCCGAGCCGGCCACATCAAAGTCTCCTTTAAAGCTAATTTCCTCTCTGCAGCTTCCTGAAAGTAGAAGAATCCCATGGCGTTTAACAAATGCAGTGGAAGAGCTGTGCACCATGTAGGAAAAAAAAAGAAAAAGATTTGAGTTCACTCTCATTAGCTATGCATCACCTGGGTGGATATTCCACGGTGGACTAACCCCGTGTGTGTGTGTGTGTGTGTGTGTGTGTGTGTGTGTGTGTGTGTTTGTATGTGAGAGAAAAGTCGGTCGCATGCTGACACGACAATCATTCCGTTATCGGTAGTAGTCCTGAAACGCAACCGCAGCAAAGTCACCTTGTGAAAACACTGCCTGTTTTTGATTGGATGGTGCTGGATAAGAACCAAACTGTTCTAACTTTAGATTTATATTCATCCATTTTGGGTTTATCATTTAATTATTGTGACGCTGTTCCCCAGAGCAGAAAAAGACTCAATGCAGATTTCTGTGGAGCTCCTTATGAGCTTACTTATGAGCAAAAGAGTGTTTGTACTGTAA